ATAACATTTAATTACAGTTTTGCTCTCTTTGAAATTTACATTGGATGGCTGAGAGATTTTCATTTCATGATTTAAACTTTGACACAATCTCTTCTCTCTCCCACAAACACACACTCCCCGTGCATGCTGACATAAAATCAGGCACACATCGTATTCGTTCTCTCAGCACCTATGAGTACCTGCTAGGTAGCAGAATCATGCTGTTTTTATTTCCTATCAAGATTTGGATTTGTAAACATTAACATGCTAATTCTAAATGCTTGCTAGCTATAATCCATAAGCTCATATATGCTGACTATGAAATATGAGACTTATGCCTGAAATACAAATAACGTCAAATCAAACAGTGCATTTGGGAGGGGTCCTTTCTCTCTGCAGTCATTTTTATGCTGTGAAACTGGTTTTTACCCAAAATGAGTCATTCGGCAGATGGCTGGGAGTGGGGGGATGTGGAAGAGAAGTGGGATTTGTAAAACAGCAGAGGTGAGAGGCATCCTCACAGCTTCCCAAATCCACACCAAACGTTCCACTGCAGTTCTAACCCAATCTCATCTAAGGGTCACTCAAGTTCGTGTCTTTCCCCTTTTCTGCTCCTCTCGGAAGCCACGTTCTCCTCCTGGTGTTCTACTTTCAAGACATTCAAGAACACAGACTCTTCTGCTATATTCTGTCTGTTGTCATCAGTTCCCTACATGATTTTTCTACCCACACCTAAACATCATATTACTGGCATTAAGCAACAGGGCTGAAAGTCTGGCATGTAAGAAACGCAGGGAGCAGCTTACAGAAGCAGCTCACCTAGACCACACTGTGATGGGGTAGGGGGCCTCTGCCTTCCAGACTGTTTCTATGGAATGTTTCTAGCTTCTTTTAGGGAATGAAGCATTTCTTATTTATTTGGGAAAGGAACCAGATGATAACATGCTCCAAATTGTTTCAAAGTCTCCCTCCATTCTTGGACTTCAGGGACACGGTAGGGCAACCTTTGCCTTGAGGTTCGTTTCAAGACTTCAGGAAGTTCTTATAGCTGGGGTTGTGAATATCCATCTCTCAGTAACCAAGAGAAGTAGTAATGGAAAGTCAGCCAAATTATAGAAGATCTGATCAACAAAATCAACTAACAGGATTTGATTGACATGTATAGAAATTCCACTGAACAACAGCAAAATACCCATTTTTTCCCAGCTGCTTAAGGAACACTCACCAAGACAGATCATAACCTGGGCCATAAAACCAACTGAAACCGTTTCGTAAGAATTGAAATCATACACTGTATGTTTTCTGACAATAATGGAATGAGTCTAAAACCAGTAACAGAAATACAACAAGAAAATCTTCAAACGCTTACACATTAAATAACATACCTCTAAAGAATCCACGGATCAGAGAGGAAATCTCAAAGGAAAGAAAAAATACACAAGAATGAAACTGAAAATACAGCATATGAAGATATGTGGGGCACAGACAAAGCAGGGCTGAGAAGGAAACTTACAGCACTGAATCCGTACATGAGAAAAGAGAAAGGCCCACAATCAATTATCTAACTTCCTACCTCAAAAAAATGACAGAAAGTGGGGCAAAATACAACTAAACTGAGCAGAAGGAAGAAAGTAATAAAGAGTAGAAATCAATAAAATTGAAACAAAAAAACAGTAGAGAAGATCAATGAAACAAAGATGTAGTTCTTTGAAAAGATCAATAAAATTGATAAATCTGCCAAGACTTACAAAAATAAGAGAATTTGAAAATTACTGATATCAGGATGGAACATGATATCACAACATATCCTTCAGCCATTACAAGGAAAATAAAGAAATACTACAACTTTATACCCATAAATTTAACAACTCAGAAGAAATGGGCCAATTCCTCAATGACCACATACTACCAAAACTCAACAAAGATGAAATGGATAACATGAATAGTCTTGTCTTATAACCATAATGAATTCATAATTTAAAAGCTCCACACATTATCTTCAAATAATACTTTAAAAAAATACTCTGTTTCTGAAAGCAGGCCCAGACAGAATCACTGGAGAATTCCATCACTTAAAGAAGAATGGATATCAATTTCAGACAACTTCTTCCAAAAAACAGAAGAGGAGGAAACACTTCCTAATTCATTTTATGAAACCAGTATTATTCTAAGACCAAAACCAGGATTTATTCATTCCCAAATGCCCATTTATGGAAGCATACAGAATTTTACAAGCTCATTTTTTGCTGCTTTTAGGACTTGTCCAAGATTTTGGACAGCCAAGAATGAAGCCGTATATATACCTATTGCCTTTTAAGTCAAACATAAAAGGGAATTTGGAGTTGGAGACATGATCTAAAAGGAATTCTATTTTTTCCCTTTCCAAATGTGCGATCTGTGCACAAACGACTCAGCTGTTCTTTGCCATTTGTTACTGACCAGCTCTGCAAAATAACATGGAAGCCCAAGTGAGTCGGGAGGCAAAAGTCCAGGTTCCCGATTTGTTCTGCTGTTGAGCCCAACTGTGTACTTGAATAATTAATGAAAAGTTATCTGCCCCTGTAACGTGGGCGTGCTGGCTTAGTTACAGCATGTTAGTTTCCAGATGGTCATCCATGCCAGTAAATAAAGGCCAAACTAGTAAGTGCGTTTATGTTGTTATGATAAACTGGCTAACACTCAGGCTTCAGAGGCTCTTCCTTCTATGAACTAGTCCACTGACTTAGAGTTGTTTCTCCAAATAACTCCACTACGTCCCTGTGGGAAGTCGCTGTGTCCCTTCCACCATCACAGGGCCATCTCTGAGCTATGTTCCTTGGATTTTATTGGCAGAGGTGGGTCTCAGTGAGATCAGGAGACACCATCTGCCTTCCAAATACTCAGTAAATTCAGCCAGAAGTGGAAACTGCAGGGGGATTTGAGGGCCTGGTACCGGATGGGGCGGTCACAAAACTCGGAGCTCAGAGGTCTCAGTCCGCACGTGTGTCCTGATGTCACTTTCAGGGAAGACACTGTGCAGGTATCGGATTCCCTTCCTCAGCCCCCCACCCTCCCAGACGCAATAGCTGCCACTCACTTCCTTGACATCTGAAGCACTGGCTTCTATTTTGGACAAGATACTGACTTAGAATGCCTTCCTCTAATTATGTGTCATTATCTCACCTTGGGGTGGCGGCTCCCTGGTGGTGTGGGGGCATGGGACAAGGCAAAGCCCCCAGGTTGTCACGTGGCCCCCAGTTAGGTCTCCCTGAGGAGGGTGGCTTCTGCACCCCTAAAGTACTCCCAGTGTTTTAAAAAGAGTAAAAAAAGGCCACATGGATTGTCCCTTGTGTGGACACACATCAGTCAAGGTGGCGGGGGGTGTTGCCCAGTTAACATACTCATCCAGCTCTCATTGCCACTCACACAGACCCAGAGTTCACAGGCACAGTGGCTTCCAGCACATCTGCATTCCTGTGTATCAACTCTCCTCTAACATGAGCCTGACACATCCCCTAGAAAACTCTCAAACCATGACGCAATATGAAGTTCTAAGAAATCACGAAATTATGGCTAGGTATCATCGGCATCTTTCTTTTTTCAAAAGCACTGGTAACTGAAAGGAAAACTCTGCTATACCCTCTGGACCAGCAGCTACAAGATTATTAATCAACTCTCAGATAAACACTAGCAGGAAAAAAAAAGACAGTTCAGAATGCAAACATGTTGCTAGAGTGCATCTCTAAATTAACAGCAGTTACCATCTAAATAATCGAGATAGTAACATTTTCCAACAATCAGAGAAAACATGGCCAAATGCTTGTCTTAAAATAACTAACACTTAGAAATTCTTTTGTGCCGTCATTGTTGTGAAAGTGTCAAGTCAATTCAGAGGTCAAAAATATACTCTTTCCCAAACTAATACAGTGCTGAAACAAGACAGAGTCTGGCTGGCTGCTCTCCGACTCTCTTCTTCCACGGACTTGAAGTAAACATTGAGAAGAACGAAAGAACATACAGCTTTGCACGAGACAGAGGGATGAAGGGGTGCCTCCGTCTGACGCAATGCCAGCAGCACCAGCGTCAGTGCCCTCCCAGCGGTTACTGGCACTCATCCTTGGTAAGGAGAGCGCTCTGTGTCACAGCTTATGAACACCGCACATACCCTGTGCAGATCACACACACATGCGCACATATGTGTGCACGTACACCTATTCAGTGCAGCAGTCAGATGACAGGTGGCGGACCAGGCCGGTACCAGCAGCGGCGGGAGACGAGCTCTAACGCCCTACTTACAGAAGGCAGAGTCCCCCACTTGGGGTCTTCGGCGGGACTGGCAGCGGTTTCCCCCGCCGGGTGGTTGGCGGGAAGGACACAGACCTCTCCCTAGCACGGGCCCCTCAGCCCCGCTGGCTTCCTGCTGCGGCCGGGGGCGCGGCGTCCCGTCAGGAGTGTGACACAGTAGGGAAAGAGACCGGTTCACTGTGAGACCTGCTACTCACTCTCGTACAGTGCATCGGCCCCCCTTCCCACTGCACAGCGGCGCCGCGGGGCGTGTGGCCCTGGAGACAGGGAGCCTCGGAGTCCGCGTTCCATGGGGACACGGGCTGCTGTGTCCGTGGCCTTCTTCTCAACACAGTGCTTTTTAGGATGGTATAGAAACAACCCAATTGGTCCCCTAGGCTTGGGAACCGGGGAAGATTCTCTTTAAGGTGAAAAGGAAAAAAACAAAGAACAGTATGAACTGGGAAGATAGGGATGCGGCTATCTCCCTGCTTAAAAAGACACGAAGGACCCCAAAATCACTTATGGAGACTGTGTCCAGCATGCACGCCTGGGATGCTGGGGTGACGTGGGTGGCACCTCACCGGACCTGTTCCTTTCCCGCCGAGTTAACCAAACGCTCCGTTATCTTTTTCCGGAGGAGGGAAAGGAGCCGATATCAATTGCCAAGCCTGGGTACTCACCCAAGGAGGGCGGCCGAGAGACATGCGCAGGGTAACTGGGTTAGAGGAGCAAACGAGAAAGAAGAGTCCAAGTACCTGCTTGCTGTGCCGTCTGCGGCATCTGCTGGGCCCTCTGAGCGCTGAACTGAACCGAGGCCATGGGCCGGTACTGCTGTGTGGTTGAGGTAGGGTACTGGCCGGACGGATAATAATACACAGGCATCTGTGGAAGAAAGGGTGCAACGGGCAGGGGATGAGAACCGGAAATTCACACTTTTTTCCAACATAAAATACACTGTCATCTTATGATACAAGGCGGTTAACAGAAGGTTGCAGCGATGACCACCATGCCTGTGTGCTACTGCTTCCATGGAGAGGGGACTCTACCTCCAAATCCTTGAATCTGAGCTGGCTCTGATCAGTGCCATGAGGCAGAAATGATGACTTCTGAGACCTGCAAGCCTGATCCTTAGAGGACCTGCAGCTCCCACTCTTCGAGGAGAGAAGCCCAGCCACCAGGAAAAGAGGTCCGGGCTCCCCAGGTGGAGAGAGAGGCCGTGTGCAGAACAGACGCACCCCAGCCAAGGGGTGACCCCAGTGTCCTGGCACGTGCGTGAGGCCACCTGGGGTGTTCCAGCCCTGGTCAAGTCGCCTGGGACAACACCCCATGGTGCAGAGATGAGCCGTCCCGGCCAAGTCCTGTGCAAATTGCTGACCTCGACGTGAGCAATAGAGTGGTTGTTGTTTTAAAGCACTGAATTTTGTGCTTTTTAAATGAAACAAGAGTGAATGAAGAGGGAGGGTACAGCTCAGTGGGAGAGCACATGCTTAGCATGCACAAGGTCCTGGGTTCAATTCCTGGTACCTCTGTTAGGGGGGAAAAAAAAAGAACCAAAGAAAAAACTTTTAAAATATTATTTAAAAAAGAGTGAATGAAACAGTCATCTACAACAGCAACAAATTTTTATGATAGGTTTAAATATGATAATTTAACTTGAATTGTTTTTCTACTGGAAGCACAGGTGAGATGTGAAATCTGCTGATCTCCAGCCTAAAAGAACCAGAGAATGAAGTTACGAAACATGGACAAGTCCTCCAAAGCACTCTGCAGAGTGACTGGCACGTAGCCAGTATCCAAAAAACAGGATATTCAGTCTAAAGAGGGAAATACATTAAAAATACTGTTTATGTCACCTTCTGTCTCTCTCTAATGACTGAGAATGGCTGGAAATATTTTAATTACTTCTAGTAAGATTCAAAGCAAATGCCTCCTGACCTGGACTTTCTTGTCTGCATCAGGTCATTTACATTAAGGCTCTTTTCTTACTAATCAGTTATTTATTTCTTTACTTTTTATTTCCCAGGCTCTAATTTTTCTTCTATCACCTTCCTTAATGTGTAAGCAGAGGTGTGCCAATACACAGCCTACACGTGTGATATGCTTACAATAAGAACAGCCAGCTGATTCAGAACTGTGCCTGTTATGGCTATTTTATTTTCTGATATGTGCATGTCAAATAGGAACCACTTTCCTACTAGAATTTACTGTTGAAACAGAGGTAGCATGTTTTCCTGCCTTAGGAAGAGAGTAGGAACAAGAGAAGACCGTCAGTGTAGGTCAGTGGTTGGGCAGTCCCGCGGAATCATCCCCAGTCATAATCCCGACTAGCACTAAACACACCGTAGAGAAAGAAGCTGAATGAGTCTAGAGCAAACCCGGGATGGTCTCTGGCAACCCATCTACTGCATGTGTTGTTCCCAGTGATGTGATCTGACCCTTCCTCCTTTTCTTTGTGAAACAACTCATAACAATAAAAACCGAAATAATTCTGGAGTAATGTTTTAGTGGTCCTCCGGCAAACTGTGGTGCCATTAAATGTTACTACATTTCACATCAGATACTTCCTAATATTAAGAATTAAAAAAAAAACTGTTAACTATTTTACTCATGAGCATCATACTTATATGTTTATTAGGAAGAAAAGCATTTTGTTCCTTTAGGGAAAACTGTGTCTTTATTCAATACCAGCTCATCGATGTGTTAGCCAGTCCTTGGTTTCTCCTCTGTACATTCAATATGAAACACAAAAGTACGTCCGGGGGTGGGGAACAGCAGAAACGCAAACTTTCCTGGTGAACACCAGTGGTTTGGACATGAGTACAACTTCTTGTTCAAAAAAAAAAGAGAGCGCGCCTCATTTTTAATACTTCGTTTCTTTGTTTTGTTCTTGGTTTTTTTTTCCCCCTCCTGGTCCTTCCTCCTTAGATGCCCTGACAGGCTGTGCTAGAGGTCTGGTCCCTGCGCCCAACACGTCTCCGAGGTAAAGCCCTGGCCGGCTCCCAGGAATCAGAGCCCCCAGTTACACAGAGCAAGTGGGAAATGGGCACTGGGTCCACCCTCATCCCCCCGCAGCTGAGGGGCGCTGAGGTGGGCTAAGAGGAATCTTAAGGGATCAGGATGGAAAGGAGATTCGGGTAGAAGAAAGGAGTAAGGACACCCCAAAAGGGAGAAAATATCTATCTTCAAATGACTATGTTAAAACATGGAGAATCAAAAAATGAGTGGATTAGGAGAGAAAGGAAATACATGGAGAAGAAACTATAAAAAATTAGCACTTCTCCCACTGCTCTTCCTCAAATCCCTCTTCGCCTGGTCCGTGTGGTCTGCTTCACCCTTCCAGTGGGCGTTCAGAAAGCAAACACGGTAAGCCAGACAAAATGGACCTTCCACGTTATTAAATTGGTTCGTTTTCTGCGTGAATTGAACATATTCCCATATATGCCCCTGGACTGTATCTCCAGTGTTCTTTTCATTCTTCTGCAGTTGAGTAATCACATTTTTAAATATTCATTAAATTGAAAATCACTATGGGTGATATCCTGTACCTTTATCTGTGGTTCTTCTACAAAGCAGCTCACAGATGTCCAGGCTCATCACAAACCACGGACATCTGTTTTGTCTTTTCTTCCCCCCTTCCCTCCCTCTTTTTATTTTTAAATCTCTTGAAGAGGGAATGAAAGCATTTCTGTTGCAGACACACTAGGGTTCTGACTTATCTTTGCTCCCACAGTGCATTAATATTGAAATTCCTTGATCAAGGAAAGACATCTTTTTAAAAAAAACCTTCAATTAAATATTCTGCCAACTCTTCTCTTCGACAGAAAAAAAAAGGGTAAACACTCATCAGCTATTTAGATGAAAAGAGCTAAACTGTTTTTTCAATAATTAACCTTAAAATATTTATTAGTAAAATAATTAATATATTAATAAGGCCCTTTCTCCTGTAACTTAAAATTTTTCACATCTCCTTAAATCCTACCAGTGACACTACCACATTACAGAGAAGGCAACTGAAGATGAACTGTTAATTATCGCTCAACGTTAAATGAACAACTGGGTGAAAATCATTTCATGGTGGAAGGTTTTGCATGGCTGGAAAAGAAAATAATTTACTCAAGATGTTAAGGCAGTGCCTTAGATGATATGAAGGTGACACTATACTTTAAACAGCTCATCCGATGCAATATTTCATAATTAGGATGGAATTTGCTGGGGTTATGCATGCCTTGAAAATGGACCAGAAAACGCCTCCGTGCATTTTACATCTTGACAGTAATCACTTGCAATATTCTGCAAGGGATACCCAGGAGAGCCCCAGAGATGTCTGGCAGTGGAGAGTAACACACAATCAGTCTTTGAGAAGACAGTAAAAATCAGTGATCTGTGGTGTCTTACACGCTCAAGTCAATTAAATATGATTAATGAACCCCTGAGAGCGCACACGTGAGCTCGGCCTCCCCTGGGGAAAGGACAGGGGTGGGGCTTGGCTGCCTCCTTTATATTCACAGAGGAATGAGTGTAAAGGTACAGCACTGGATTTTGCTCCGGAAAATGCTTATGAACAGATTTAAAAAAGGAAACAACACATTTCCAGAGCAGCAGCAAGAGAGAGTTGAAAGCCCTCAGGAGCGGGCTCTCCCTCCCTCACTGGGGTGAGCCAGACATTGCGGGAGGGGCTGCTGTCCTACGGTCTCTGCACCAGGAGCCTGAAAGAGGGCACATTTCCCCGGGTACCATGGCCACTTGGCTCTGTTTCATTAAACTTACTTTCTGAGACCCAAGACTTTGCACAACTGTTGAAAAGGACAGACTGGGTCCTGTAGGTTGGGGGTATCCATCTAGACCAGAAGGGCAAGACGGCTTGGCCTGGTGATAATTCCATGTGGAAAGAGAGGGGAACGTGCACCACAAATGAGCTGTGGGTCCCGGGCGTGAGAAGCAGCACTCACCTGTGCAGGTGGAGGCTGCTGCACGAAGCCCTGTGGCGAGGGAGGGGGCTGGAGCACTTGCTGGGAGATGGGCGGTCCGGAGCCTGAGAAGCCCCCTGTCGGGAGCTGCTGGCCTGTTGAGGCGATGACATAGGCTGGCTGTTGGGTGGGCTGTGGCATGAGGGACGGTGGGTAGACAGGACCAGCCGGGGGCTCGGGAGTCTCTCCAGAGGACTGCCGGCTCAGGGTCATCTGGCCAAACTGCGTGGCCACATCGTCCCTCTGCAAAGCCACAGAAAGAAACCAGGACATCAGCGAGATAGGCTGAGGAATGGGAGTGGCAGACACAGGACACATACTCGTCCTTGGGGGATGGGGAAGGGAGTACAATTTGGAAAAAGCAAAACAAAAGCATTCTCCATCCAGCACCACAAGAGAACATAACAGGAGACAATGGATTTTAATCACCCCGGGGATCGGAGACGGCTGACATCGTGACCCACATCTCCCTCTTTCAATAGACACGAGTTGTTGTGTTTCACCCGGGGCCGGGGATCCTTAGGATGACATGGAGGCGAGGAGGACTTGGGGTTCTTCCCAGCGGTAACCCTGGGACTTGCCCACTGGAGGAGGCGGGAGGACTTGTACCACCTGTGACTGCCTCAAAAATGGAGCCAAGACTGGTGCCAACAGGCCAGGTGGGATTTCATTCGCATATTAGGGAATATTTATTCACTGGCTTGGCCTGAAATTAAATGTTCTCTTTTGTGGTCCAAAAGGACCCAGTACCTGGAGGGGAAATGAGAGGGGATGGGAGGATCAGGAAACTAGAGGAACATCTGTGTCTTAGGAGCATAGGGTGATGATGGTCACCATGTGGACACTGACTTTAAGGTATTTCCCAAAGCCTCACACCAAGTTCATGTGTCTCTGTCCTCCTGACTTCTCCCTCTGCGGACGTACAATTCCTGCTTAACTCATACCCTATTAAAAGGGTACCAGGTTGCGGACGCACTGAACACGGACAGATGACCAAATGGAAACCATTATTTTGGAGAGGGGTTGCAATGCTCTGGGATAAGACATTCACACACCACCTCCCCTGTCACAGTCAGCCCAGTGCAGCCACCAGGCATCAGCCAGCCCTGCACAGGAAGCTAGTAAAACCAGGAGAAGAGCCATTCACACTTGGTACAGTACCATGGGGAACTGCGGCGTCGGAGACACGGGCAGGAGGTGCTGGGGAGGGAAAGAGACAGCTGGAAACGGCACTGACTGCGGGGAAGCCTGCAGCCCCTGGACAGACAGGAGGGAAAACAACTGATCAGGTAACAGGGAAGCAGTGGAATCCCACAGGAAGGCAATGGCATCTGAAACATACCACCACCCTTCACAGGTCCTCCTGCCTCAAAGCCCTCTGGAGTGGAGAACCAGCCACCAATGGGAAGCCAAAGCCAGGCAGACTGGCACCAGCCAGCCTGAGGGAGGCTTGTGGCCCAGATATGAAATCATATGCTGAAACTTGCAAACATTCTAACACAATATCAACTTTAAAGAATCTTGCAATCAATAAAAAGAGAAGTTATCATGATACTTTTCATGTTTTGTTGTTAGTTAGATCTCCTGGGTCTAAAAGTATTGTCCAAGGACTAAGAAGTAATAAAAAAACAAAAACAAAAAATTAGGTCCACCCTGGCAACCTACCTTGAACACTTCAGATTTCTGGGGACATTCCCACGTGTCACCCTAGAAAAGGACAGCTCTGTGTCTCTCTAACTGCTGAAAGAACAGCCAGGCCACCTCGGAGCTAGCTGGTTTCTAGTCTTCCCATTGTTGAAGCACCAACACTGGCTCTTTGCAGACACGAGTGCTGGTCTGCGATGGGAATGGGTGAGTGAGGTGGTAACAATGGCCTGGATGGGACTGACTTCGGTCCCTAAGACAGGCTCCTTGACACATACACAAAAGATCTTTCCAGATCTAAGGAAAAAATGTGTCATTCACTGTCCCCAGGACCCTGCCTCGCCATGCAATTCACTGGATGGGGCACTTATTTCTCCCTAAACTTGAGATGAAGTCCTGCCAACCTGCAATCCAGGACTCTAGGTGGGTTGAGTTGAGTGGGTTGGGGTGGCATCGATGGAGAATACCCCTCTTCCTGAGGCACCACCGCTCCGAAGCTGGTGTGGCCTTCGTCCCCGCCGCTTCCCCTGCCCGTCTTCCCTCCAGGCCTCACCTGAGTGACCAGCGGGCCTGCCATCTGCGGCTGGGGTGGCTGGACCTGCTGCTGGGGCTGTGGAGAGGGCTGCTGCTGCGGCTGCTGCTGGGACTGGCCCACCACCGCGCTCCGCAGGGGCTGCTGGCTGCTGGGGGGGTTGTAGACGGCGGGGGTTCCATCAGGATTCACAAAGGGCTGGCCTGCAACGGAATCAGACCTTGGTTGAGGTAAACTTCTCGCGCTCTCTTTATAGGTGCTCAGAAAAGAACCTAAGGGAAAGGGACAGGGCGGTGGAAATCCTGGACACCAGAACCCTGACCCAGGGGTGTCTATGACTCAGCTAGTTAGGCGAGATACCCATGTAAGCCCACTGCAATTGATGAAGCAGCAAGTAAGCCCACCAGCTTCAGGGCGATCTGCTAAAGCTAAGTGGATCCACGTCCAGTGGCCAGCAGTAAAGTAGGCCTGTGGAGAAGCCACCTTCACCGAGCCGTGTGTTTGGCTGTCCGGAACTTCACAGCCTCAGTGGCATAGCGTCCACTGAGAGGTAAGGGCTGTTTTCCATTTACATGATTCCAGCCACATTCACTTACTCACTATATACCAATGCATCTGTTTTGCTTCCACTGGCCTTGTCACCCACTCAGAGTCATGATCAGTTCCACAGATACATACACAGCAAAATTAGACCACATCTACACACACACTTCTCCAAACAGACAAGCAGGGGTACCCAGGGGAGGCGGCTGAGATTCTGAAGGTGACGCCTACCAAGCCTGGCACAGAACCGTCTCATCATGGCCAAGCAACGAGACCTCATCTTGCCTCCTGAAGTCATGGCATGGTTCACTCTTACTGGTCCTACCATTGCAGGAGTGTTTCCTGATTTACCAAATGGTATCACGGGAACCCCCTCAGCCATCGTGAGGGAGGAAGGTACCATCTCCCCATATTTCAGAAGAGGAAACAAAGGACCACCAGGAAAAGTTACAGGAATAAGAAGCTGAAAGAAGGAGGGTAAAAGGCAGCAAATGAAAGAGAGGAGAAGAGGAGGGAAAGGCAGGTAAGGGAGAACAGGCTTCCAGTATGACGGGCGTGGTGACAGGCACCTGACACCTGTGGCTGCTCTTCCGAGAGCCCCACAGATACGCAATCTCGGTCCACGTTAGAGACAAGACAGGGCTCAGAGAGCCCAAGCGACTTGCTCAGAAGTGTGCTAAACAGTGAGACAGACAGCTACGAAATGATCCTGGTCCCTTCACCTCCCGGAACACCAAACACCTTAAGTGAATTATGCAAGTCTGCATAGTAAGTACCTGGTACAACACGGTACCACCAACAAAATCCAACCATCACTGAAAATTTATCAACCAACATATGAGAAGTCAAGAGAGGTCGATGCTGCGTTTTAAGATGGAATCACCCCCAGGGTTGGTAGAAAAGGAAGAACCAGAACACGGAGGGGAAGATGGGCAAAGGGCTTGTGGACTGTTTATGAGTCCTTTCCTCCCTTTTCCATAACCCCACAGCCCACTGGGAAGGGGCGTGGTAGGAATGCTGGTTCCTAAGCTGAAGGCATGGAAGAGTCTCCAGGAACCTGGGCACAGGCCTGGCAGGAGCAGGACTCCCCGAAAGTGGGGGGGTGTCTTCCTCCTCTGGTAGCTTGCTGGGTTCCTCCCAAGCCCTGACTTCTAAAGCCTCTCCTTGCACGTTCCAGTCTGCAGGGCCGTGTGAAGCCCCTCACCCAGTTCGGGAAGCGCACGCGCACGTGACGGCTGGGCAGTCAGCCTCGCTCCGTAATAATCCACATGGAGGACGACCCCGGATCCCCAGGTGTGTGAGGAAAACTAGCAACGGACAGGAACAGATGGAGAGGGAAAACAGAGAAACTGACCCAAAGCAAACAATATTCTAGTGAAAAAAAGAAAAAGTCTGGTATTCAACCACAAAAACAGACTGTTACGGAAATGGGAACTGAGTCAATCAGCAAGGGGGAAGGGTGTAGCTCAAGTGGTAGAGCGCACACATAGCAGGCGCGAGGTCCTAGGTTCAATCCCCAGTACCTCCTCCAGAAAACAAACAAACCTAATTACCTGCCCCCTCAACCAAAAATGAAATTAAAAAAAATTAAGGAACCGAGTCAATCAGCGAATGTGTGCTCAGAGAGAGCAACCAGTCCCCAAAGTCTAGCTACCTCATGATGCCATTTCTGCTCCATTCAAGGTCAGGCGAAACTTCCCAAGGGCAGTGGACGTCAGAAGACTGGTACCTTGGGTGAGGCACAAGGGAACCTACTGGGAGAACAGACAGGATCTGGGTCTCATTTCAGTGGCGCTTACATGGGTGTCACACACATAAGTGTTTACCAAGGCCACGCGCCCTGTGTGCGCACTTCACCTCTGTACTCTATAAAGTACATTCCGGAAGTAAACCGGGATGGGCCCGGGAGGCGCATGCGGAGGCTGCCAGGAAAACGCTCACATGTAATGAGCAACGGACTTGTTTTCAGCTCAGTGAGGAACTGGTATGAATGCTTAGCATTCCCCCAATTCTCAGCCCATATATTTATGTTTTGTGTGTGTGTGTGTGTGTGTGTGTGTGTGTGTGTGTGTGTAAGCAACAAGAAACCGCAGGTGTTGCATGTGCATGAACATACCTGCCAGAAGCAAGGAAGTCCTAACAGCAGTTTTACAACCAATCACGATGTGCTGTGATGGAAAAGCCAATGTGCCCAAATTATCATCACAGAACGATGGCTAAATTTAGAAGGTTTTAAAAAAAAATGTTTTTCATAGGCATTTGTTTTCCTATCACTGTCATTGAATTGTAGCTACGTTTTATTGTTTTAAATTATTTTTCTTTTTGCAAAAGTAACTTTTGAATTTAAAATATGCAACTCATTTTTTTCCCCTGCAAACCCCAGCAATTTGGGAAAGCATGAAAAAATAGCTCAGGTTTCAAAAATCTATTAGCCCATTCGGTGTTTTCAGTCTTTGTTCCCCTCTCCTTTTCCATATCTTATAAAGGTAAGAGGAAAATTTAAACCTAACATTTAAAAAAATTACCACAGCAACCTCATATGAAATAATTTCAAAATCAGTCTCACTCTGTGCTTACAGACACACACACAGAGATGGAAAAGAAAAGAAAAGAATCTTCTATGACTTTTGATTTACCCCAGTGAGAACTAGGGGGAGGGGTGAAGAACTGATCACTCTTATGGTGAAAACATAACTGCAAAATATTCCGATGTCATTTTTGAGAAGTCTCAGCTCCTCCATTTAAAATATTATTAATGTGCCATGGATCAGAAGAAAGAAATGTGTCTGCATAGCAGCATGTGAAAAGTACTAAGGATGCACCAGGGGTAAAGACAGGTGGTAGGTTCTTCTGGAAAGAGAAGAGAGTATAAAAGGTTGGTTTTATGCTCACCAATGCACAGTGGGGAGAAGTGGAGAAAATGAAAGAAATCAGATGGATGCCAGGGAAGAGGGGGAAAACAAAACAAAACAAAACAATTTCCTAAGAGGGCCAGGACAGGAGACTATTGGTTTTCAAGTCAGGCAATGATCGCCTCTTTTGTGTTCTACCTCGTCTACCAATCCAGATGCAATTATGACTGAACACAGGCAATTAGTCTGAATGACAGCGGCTGGAAACCAAATGAGAAAGGCTCGCTGGCTCTAGGACTCTTGGACTTAGCAGAGGTTTTCAAGTCAGAAGGGCAGAAGTGAGCCCCGCATGGGTGCTGGCACAGGCTGGGAGAGGGCGGTGACAGAGCTAAGCCAGGGGGCCGAGAGCGGAGCCAGGGCAGAGAAAAGGACTGCATGCAGACTGCTTGTTCCTCTCAAATATGCGACAGTAAGTGAAAAATGTCTCCATTATCCACAGCGACGTGTGTAACGTGCAGCAGATATTATGTTACTAATCTGCACTGAAGGAGCCCTGCTCAGTGACTAAGACTCTGTTACCCATTCCAGGGATGCAAAAGAGAAACAAAAAACCTCAAGTATGACCTCTTCTCCCAAAGAGCTTATAAAGGTGATGGAAACAAGGAAATGAACCCAAGGCAGTTCATACTAGATGCAAAGTGATCACATGCTCTTGGCTTCCAATATCAAAGCATGGCTCCCATGTACCTGGCAGAAGGGCATTTATTTAAAAAGAGAGGGGATGATGAGAGAAGTATTCTCCTTTCCTCATCCTTGGAAGGCGAGCAATCCAATTAGAGGAAAACTGATGATTATGGATAAGCAAAGATTAATTCAGGTCTTGAAAAGATATGTTTATAGACAGCACACAAAAACTTCATGGTGCATTTAAGCAAAAGGTGGAGGCAGTTAGGATAGACTGATTCTAGAAGTCCTGTGAAAAGCAAAAAGTAGAGTGTTAAGGAAGCCCATCAAGAGTATCAGAAAGAGAGCAGCCCTGAAGGGTGGCCCCGGGTCAAGTCCCTGCCGATGGCGTGTTCCTGCATCTCATGCTCATGAACTTGGAGCAGAGGAAGGCAAAGCAAAATGGCAAAACAACACAGAGGGGCACTGGCGAGCACTTGAGGGGTGCTGATGCCTGTTGGCGTCTCGGGACAGCACTGAGTTACAAGAAAATAGCCAAAGACGAGCTTTCAGCTAAAAATTTCCAAAAGGAGGCTGAGTCCAAGAGAGCTGGAGGAAGATCAAGCTCAAGAGTCACAGCCAAGCTTGGCTGCAAGGATGAAGATGTGGTCCAGGGATAACGCTGAGAAAGAGCCTCTGCAGCGACTCCCTCACCCAGGTGCCTGGAGAGCCAAGAAAGAACAGCCAGATGCGGGTCCTGAGCTAGAAGTGGACCCGCGGGAGCTGAGTATAAAAGTGTGGTCTCCCGGGGGAACTGCAAGACGGTGTGTGGGTACGTGAGTGGGGTTGGTTCCAGTGTGCCAGAGTCAGTGCCCAGTGAGAGCCTGGGCAATCGTGCTGACAAAGGAGTTTCACTTTTGTTTCATTTAGGAGACAAACGACTGGCAGGCACCTTAGTATTTCAAATCATCGCTTGTCTTAATCCTGCTTAAGACAGATATCTTATCGATCACAGTTTTACACATGAGCCACACATTCTCAAGTATATGACACTAGATGAAGAACTGTTCTACTACCCAGAGCAACATACATGGTGAATAGGAGACAGTGTTTCAGTACTATGTAATTACTGAGGACCTGTGTCAGAGCACAGTGCCTAAGGCTACTTCGAGGTCCACTCTAGGGAAGCAAAAACTAGAGCCTAGAATGACCCATCCCCACAAGGAACTCACAGGTGTGCTGCTAACAAGGACATGGCTCCAAGGGCAATTCACATAAGAAGCAAAGTAGTCTTATACTCTTGGAGTCTAATACCGAAGCATCGCCACCACGTATTTGGCAGAAGGGTATTTAGGAAAGCGTGAGAGGTGTGGATTCCAGGGCTGCACAGCAACGCCTGAGAAAGATGAGCTCCAACCCAAAGGAGGCAAATTTCTGGTTTCAAGAGTCATATGAGAGATTAGACAGCTGGACAGAGAGACATGCACACATACACACACATACACAGATATGTATGTAATATGTGATATGTGTGTACACAGGTACATCCATACATGTGCACATTTCCAGGTTACAAAAATAAACACATTCTGGAAGAGAGGAAACACCATGATGCACCTTACATCCCACCAGTCAATCATGGTGCACAATGTATGACTACACTGTCCTCCTGGTCTAGGGAGAGTTTAATGTCTAGCATTTGCCAAATTAGAGACATGTATCTGGAGATGCTGTTCACCAGTATTATTAGATGCTCTTCCTTAGTTAGGATCCTTTTGCAAAGGAGATATTTTGCTACAGCTCTAAATTACTCAGTCCAGTGAATAAGAATTGAGACTTGGCATGAGGAAGCGCTTTCTTTCTTTTTCTGTAAACAAGACTACAGATAATATACACATACACATGCATATCCACGCAGTCATTACAAATCACATCCCTGCCTTCTAGCCTAAAAAATACTCTTGAGCTGTTTTGAAACACTCTTTGCAATTCTGCGTAAAACACACCACTCCAAACTAATGCTTAGCATGTCCTGCTGTCTACAAGCCAGTCTCAATTATAAGTGAAGGAATTCAAGCCAACAGAGTCAGATCATACTTTGATTGGCGCCCAGAGGTAATGAACAGGATCTTAGTTTTCTTTTAGTCTCCTTTATGGTGCTTACAATGACCCAAATAAAAATAAAAGCGGTCTAATATTCTCCTTAGAAATATCTGAGAGCTTTCAAATGGTTTTCAATAAAATAATTACGCCTTCTTTTCCCTCAAGCTTCTGGCATTTTCAAAACATCTCAATCAAATACTGTGACTTGAGAATGTGCCTGATGTTTTCATGAAATTGTGGCAATTAGTCAAGTAACTATTTGCCTACCATCCTCACGCGTCTCTGATTTTCCTAATTACTAGGGAGCCCTGGCTACGCGAAAGACAGGTCAGATCACTTTTACAAGATTCTCATCCAGTTTCGCATGTTTAAGTTTAGCTAAGCAAGGAAACACTTTGGAACAATCTAAACCAAACCTCAGAAATATTTTGAGAAAACTCATTTTTGGCTTCAGTCACTTAGAAAGGTGTGTAGAGAAGTGGCTGGTCAATGTCACCTTCTAACCCGGCGTTCCCAGCCCGGCACTGCTGACGTCACGGGCTGGATGCTCTGCTGTGACAGGCTGTCCTGTGCGTTTTAAGATGTTTAGTAGCCTCTCTGGCCTCTACCTCCATAGACCAGTGACAGCCCCCTCCCTACTAGGTCATGATGATCAAAACATCTGCAGATATTGCCAGGCGGCCTTGGGGGTGTGGGCAGAATCGCCTCTGCTTGAGAAGTTTCCCCATGAAGCAGGTGTGCATCAGTCTGTTTGCTCCATGCTCTGGGTCCTCTGACTCAGTGCGGAAGCTGGCTCACCGCTAGAGAAACTTACAAATAAAGAAAACAACGGCCACTCCTCATGGAGGAAACCATCATCATGGAGTTACCAGTTCTCCAAACCCTGCCCAAACCAGCCTAATCCTGAAATCCCTAACATCCATAAGAAGTCGTTCCCTGCACCCTCTCTGCCCCTGCTATTCCCTACTTCCCAGTGGGAGCTGAGTGGGGTTCTGAGGTGGGAAGACAATTTCTAGAGTTAAGAATCTGCCATGTGCTGCAGCTGATGTCTCAAGTTCCTGAAATATCTTGGATGCAAAAACATATTCGACACAAAACTCCAAGCCAACCAAGGATTTAGTTCGAGAAACATAAAATTTCTCTTGGTACATCCCTGTTCATCACTCCACAGTTTCTGATCTTAGCTCCTGGGAATACACGAGACATACCATGGTCAGGGAAGAGAGGACAGAGAGACAAATGGGTATCTGTGGGGAGCATCTGGATTTATATCCATATATCAGGATCAATATAAAGATTCCAGCTCTCTATAGGTCTGCTCTTCCTGAATCAAGACAGTACACAACAGTTCATGCACCAAACTCTCCTGCTAAGGAATTTTCCAGAACACTTGCTGGCAAATGTATACGCTCAAACGCAAGGACGAACCCCTGACCTGTGCCTCTGCCGAAGCAGAGACTGCAAGCTGACCTGTGTGCGGGTTGAGAAGGATGCTTCCGGGCGGGATGCCTGTCGCCGCTTCGAGTGGAAGGAGGATGTAGCTCGTGCTGCTGGGAGCCACCTGGCCCCCTATTCCGTTCTCCGGGTAGCTCACACAGCCGGGGGAACTGGCTGCCACGCCCGAGGCCAGCGGTGTGCTCTGCAGAGGTGGGTGGGTGCGAGACAGCGAGCCCGAGGAGCCCGCGCTGCTGGAAGATTCAGAACCTGCAGCAGAGACACAGATCAGCAGATCATTCAACACGGACGAGGGGAGGAACCACGGCTGACTGCAAACAGTCCATCATTGTGAATCTGAGGTGAGCACTGCGGGATCACATTAACTAATGCCCCTCCCCTATCTGGGGTCCGCATTTTATTGAAGTGTTTGCTGCATCTTTTTCAGATGTGTCAAATTCTCAGGAAGACAGAGGAATAAGGAGGCTTCTCTCTTTCTGGCTTCTCACGTGCCATCAGGGTGATGAGCTGGTAAATAAGTGGTGCCTTAAAGCTGGGAACTCCAGTGCCTGAAACCGCCTGTCTCCCTGAGTAACTGAGGCCATGGGAATGTCCCAGGGAGCTGAAGTTAGGAGAATAAAAGGACTGGGCTGGAGGCTAGGGGGCCTGCAGTTTAAGGAGCAGTCCTACGGTTAGGCAGATGGTTCTCAAGTCCTGGTTCTCCACCATCCATAAAGCTGAATTTTGAGGGGTTGTGGTCAGAAGCCATCTCTTCCCTTCTGCGTAAACAGAATAGCTCACTGGCTCATTCCTCCTGGAAGTGATTACAATCTTACTGCGTTTCACATACACACAGAATCTTATTAATATGACCAAGAGATGAACCAAGGAGGGCTTGGCCTTCGTGATAATGATCGAGCATCCTTCAGATGACATGGAAGAGTAAAATCATGGGGAGATTTGTGGACTGCGGATTTCTCAAACATGTAGGCAACTGGGTCAGTGGGCAGCAGCCTCCAAGATGGAACCCAGCACCAATCATCTCCCTCTCCCTCCAATGTGAACCAAAAACCAAAAACAAAAAGCACTGGCTACATCCCTTGCCTTTGCTGCAACCGGAGCCAAGCAGCTCTACACCCGTGACCATGGCTGTTCTGAGCCCTGAATACTAAGCAGAGCATCAGAGAGAAAATGCACCAAGCAAAATATCTGGGTCTCTGAATTCAGACTAACAGATGGGGTGAATGATTATCATAGGTTGCAAGAACAGAGAATAAGAAATGTTACAAGCTTTTAGCCCACACTATTGATTTATGTCATTAAAAATGCATTATTCTGTGTCATTAAAGGTTAACATATATGAGGAATAGCTAACATTGTTCTGAAGATTCTAAAATATGATCTTAAATGAAACTGGAGACCTTTTAAAACAAGTGAGAGGAAGACACATGCGATTGCAGAGAAGAGGGGCTGCTGGAGAGTGTGGTCAGTTTTGAGGAAGAGGACAGCGATACTTACTGAACACATGGGACGTGCGAGCACCTAGGTAAATGCTGTAATGGTAAGAACTATGACTGCCTATAGAGATGGGGAAACTGAAGCAGACAGAAGGCAGGTAACACAAGCCGACTCATTCAGCCAGGCAAGGACAGGGCTGGCACGTGCACCAGGCAGACTGATCCAGATTTAACCGCGACCCAGCACTGCCTCCTGAAAGCACACGTGTGCACATACCAGGGACTGCCACAGCGGTCTCGGGTGGGAGTCTTCCCGACTTTTTCTGTGACTTTATTATTACTAATGATGAAGTTTCAGGTTAATTCTGGACGCTCCATCTAACTAGTGGTGATGAGGCTCTGAATAATGTATGGGGAGAAAAGTAAAGGATCTAAAAGGAAACTCGAAAACGCTAAGAGTAGTTTTGAGACTACATGGCTGACAGGTCTGACCCGGAAGTCACAGCCCCAGTGCAAACTATGCCAGGCGTTTGTGGACTTCAGCATATGATTTGATGCTACAGCCTGACTTTGACACTAGTGCAGTCGATCACAACAGCAATGACAGTAAATACAATAAAACTTCCTGCCTCTAGACGTTGAAGGTCATGCGCAGTTGACTCAGCCCACGTCCAGGCTGAGGGGCTGGATGATGAGGAAGACTTTGGACTAAGAAGGCAGCTCCTCGCTCTGGCTGGAGGACTGAGCTAGCGCTGGCCTGGGCATCTGTGTTGGTGGCGGGGACGGATGCCCACAGACTGATGTGCCCCAATAAAATCCAAAAAATGACCTCATTTTGGCTTTTGGAAGATGGCCATTCACCCGACTGGCAGTACCATCTCCTTCTATGGGCTGAGAAAAAGCAGCAGCTTCAACAGAACAAGGAGAAGACAAGGTAAAGACAATGTAAATGATTTGATGCCATAGGTTAAAAGAAGGAAGGAAGGAAAAGTAACTTTGGCTTAAACTCCCAACACTTGCAAAGGAGGCAGACCTCCTTGGAGGGCACAGCAGTCACCAGGCAGCCTTGTTTAGTAACCAGCCTTTCTGGCTGGCATCTAACCAGCTTTGACCAGCTTATAAGCATCAGGTCACCTAGAGTCGGGTAAAGCAATATGAATTACTGAAATTCTTAATAAAAAATGGATGCCAGCGATGGTGATAAAAGCCACAGGATTAGAAGTGCTCACATATTTAAAAAGTTAATATTTGAGAACTTTACCACTTGGAGTGCTAAGAGTTCAAGTGTTTTGGGTTTCCTTTTTCCAGGGACTTAATGATAATAGTGACAAATATTTAAACAGTACATCTGTGTGACAAGCATTGTGTTAATCACTCTATATGAATTGTCTAATCTACTTTTCACAGCAACCTCATTTGGCAGATGAGAGCTGACCCTTAGAGACGTTAAGTAAATTTCCCAAGTGCAAATTAGCACACGGTGGAGTCTGACTTCACACCCAACAATGCAACTTCACTGACCACACTCCAAGCCTGCAGGTCAGATGG